GAGCACCCAATTGGCCCTTGACTTGCACTCTGCAGACTTAAAATGGCCAAATAGTAGTCAAGGGGGATGCGAGGTCGGGACAGGTGTTTGCATTTGCTGAAACGTGCACAAGACATGTTGCTTTGTACTTGGCTCTGTACCCTCTTTGCCCAAAAGAGCTGTTGGAGTGCTGTGTATGCCGTGGCCCCATGTGAGCGAATTGGAACACTTGTCCATACAGTGGGCACCCTGCTCTTGGGAACAAAATGCAACAAAAGTCCTGGATGCTATCTGTAGCAGATGATAAGGGAAAACTATGGGGCATGTCACCCAAGTCCCAGAGTGCAAGTGACAATCGCTCAGAGGCCAAAATGTTGACTGGGACAAAGATCTCACTGACAATGAGTTGGGCGTTATGCAGCTTCACAATCCGTCAAGTGCTGCACATCCTTTCAGGCTAATAGTGCACTGACGCCCTGTGTAACTGGGCACTGTGAGATTCCCCACATTCAACCAGACGTGCACCTGGCTGTGCTGTTGAGCTCCCCATTGGCCAATTGGTGTGTCATCAGTGTGGCCACGAATGCTGATCAGGCGATGCCAGACTGGCATCGCTGAGCAATGATATGCTTTCCCACCAGGCAGAAGTTGCCTCTGCAGGCATGTTGAAATAGTGTGTTGGAAAGGGGTGACACCAGTATCTCCTCTTATGCATTCCTGGCATATTCTGCAGGCGATTCGCGGGACAGAGGCAGAATGCACAAGCAGGGTGTGGGAGCAGTCAGCTTCCAACGTGTGCCACAGGTTCATGAACAGGCACTACGTCCTGGGAACACAGCCCACCCAGTTTGGGATCGCAGAGGAGGAATGCAGGACGATGGGCGGGCGCCTGGCCGAACTGACCCTCGAAGATGGCGAGGATCAGCAACACTTCCTTGCATCCATAGTCCCTCCTGATGGGGCATGGATTGGGCTGCAGCCCATCAAGAACACCTGGACATGGATTGGCTCGATGCGCAAGGTGTGATTGGTAATATGGTAGTAATGCTATGCTCCCACCCCCAGTCCCAACCCCAGTCCCAACCCCCGTCCCACCCCCCACCCCCACCGAAAAAGAAAAGAAACAAGAAAAGGGGAAAAACACCTACCTCACAGACAAGGACAGCTGTGGATACGATCACACCAGTTGGCCACCACCAAAACATGCAACACACCGCAGTGGCATCATTCCGGCAATCTCAACACAGAGCGGACTGCAGACCACAATTGTGTGCAACTGGCAAGGGTACGGCAGAGCTTCTTGAGTCATTTTGTGGCTCCAGGCAGAGAGGGGGGAGCTGGAGCGGATGTGGTTCTTGGAGCCCTCAAAGGTTGGGAACTGCAGGGGAGGCTTTGCAGACCCACGAGGGACTCTGCGCAACATTGGGGCCAGGACCTGCGGGGAGAGGATGGCGTTTATCTGTGAGTTCGATGTCGCCACGGATGCACTGCCAAAGATATGCAAGGTGCCTAGACCCCTTGCTGACAATGCATTGGATGGTGACCACTTTCAGCAGCCTGATTGGTAAAAGCACCGACAGGCACATGCAGCCGTGGGATTCATGGTTCAGGATTGTCGTCCCTGTGGGGATTGTGCTGTGCGATGTTGGGCTGAGTTTGGAACTGACACATGTCTTGGGAAGAAACGACCCATTTCATGAGTTTGCCACGATTCAAGTGGAAAACAATATGATGGGAAACAGCCACTTTTTTCCTGCCATAGCAAATAGAAAGGTTTTAAGATTGCCGACTTGCTTGGAGATCCAAGAGCAAGGGGCAAAGACGGAGCGTCTTTTGCTGCTCATCCTATGCACCATCTGCATTGCGATGCGAGCTGCCAGAGCGCACTTTGGCAAACGTGCATTAGAAAAGAATGGACAATTGAAGAGTGAATTTGCAACTTCTTCATTCAGCAGGACACTTCTCTTTCGTGTTGGCGCAGCGAAGCCCGATGAAGAAAGAGGACGGGAGGTGATCTGCCATTTCGGCGAGCCCAAAGCGACAGGAGAGCTAGCATGCTGTACCCCGGAAGAGTACCAAGAAGTTTGCCCTGCCCGGGTGAGGGTAGAGGCAAAGGTGCGTTGGTGCTCTTTGGATTTCTGCGAGTTGTCGTTTAGTGACAGCGCATGATGGAAGAAAGCACCACGTGGGCGATGACAGGCGCCCATTTAGTTAGCTCTGGGATGGGTCACTTTGGAGTCAAAGGCGAGCAAGTTTACCATTTTCTTTGTCTGCTGGCGTACCTTTTCTGATTCTTAATCAGCGCAATTAAGGAAATGGGTTTTTGTGTTGAATGTGGCGGCATCGATTGCCATATTCACGCTGGTTGGCGCGTGTTCATTGCTATCTCGGCTCTGTATTTCAAGCTTCATTGAAGTGTGCATGCACCCATCATGGTAATCCTTTCAAACGCATTTGACATTTGTTTCTCTTTATCGAATGATCGAAACGCAATGTGAACGACTGTGCCTAGAGGTGTGTGACAACGAAGAGCGATTTAACACTCAACAGCTGAGCATTTATAATGCCTGGATTGTGCAGACTGAGAACTTACTCTAGAGGCGGCGGCGACAGCCTGAGAATTATGTGATGGCATGTCCAGGTGGGCGACGCAGCATCAGAAGCTTCCCAGGTTAGTTTGGGATCCATGAAGGATATGGCCCAAGCAGTGCAATTGCGCAAATATGTTTGCGAGGTCCCCTCACAGTGCAGGCTTGAATGAAAATCATGCGTGAGCCAATCGTTTCCCTACATTTGTTGAATGCGAGCATGACACAGCCCTGTCATCAGCAAGACTATGCCGGCCATCGTTTGCTGTACGCTTTCTTCTTCTTTCCAGTCCACGACACCATATCGAATATCAGAGTACATTTGCCACACCCCTTCTCGTACTTGGTGCTTATTTGTGCCAACATGGTGGGGGCGGTTTCGACCGGATGCCTAAAGTAGTGCATCCTTAATGGGCTCAACAATGACCTTAATAGAGGCCACCAAAGAGAGGCCAATAGAGGCCTCAATAGAGGCCACGCAAATAATGCCTTTGTTATTGCGATTTTTCGTAAATTTACGATAAAATTGCGATGCCTGCGTGTCCGTCCCAGGGCACCATTGCGGAATCCACCGATCAAATCATCCCCCCATTTCTTGCCCCCATAGCGGTGGCCGCCTCCCTCATCGCCTTGGCCCTTGGCCTCTTGGCGGTTGAGTGGCGAACGCCAGGGACGCTGCGAGCGATGTATGACAAAGTCACCAGAAGGTGCGCTGGCATGTGGCGCGGAGAAACGGGGGATTGTTTCAATCTGTTTTGAGATGCGACTGGATGTATCTGTCATGTTTGCTGTGTTTCTCAAGATTCACGGTGTGGCCTCTTGCGCAGGGCTTCAGCGCGCAGACGCCGCCTCCTGAGAATGAATCCATCAGTACTAGCGGGTCCAGTGTAAAGCAAACCATGTCTGTTGCGCAATTTCGGTCTGTGTGTAAGCTGTACTCAATTTCCGATATCTTGTATCAGGGATGTCCCGCTGCCTGAGAGCACCATGGATTCTAGTCTTAGAGTGGAGCTCAATCGATTGAGCTTGATTCTGAGCTTAGAATGATTAGTCATGCATTTCTGGTCGTTCGTAGGGAAAACAGAGGCCTTGTGGATACTTTCACTGTGAATTGATATCCGACATTGTTTAGCTTGTATGTGGTGTGCATTTGTTGCTTCCTTCCACTTTCATTGCCAAAAATTTGTTGCCACTTGGTACGGTGAACAGCCAGCGAAACTGTTGGTCGACGTTCAATTGTGTGTGCTTACGCAGGGCCAGGCACGTCCACGACATCGAGTTTCAAGACGTCGCGTCCCCCAAATCCCGCCAAACTCCAAAGCTGCTGGAGCTGGCCGGCTCGCCGTTTGAGCCCAAGCTCCTGGACAGGAACAGGCTGTCCGTGCTGGAGGGGGGATGGCAGCTCTCCGGCGCGCACGGCGACATCAAGGAGGGCATCTGGCTGGACGAAAATCGGGTTCAGCACCGGGTGGCCATAAAATCTCCAAAGTACTCGGAGCTCGATAAGCACAGGGAAGCCATAGCCAGGGAGCTGCGCGTCCTGGCCACCGTGCCTGGCCACCCCAACATCGTGACGGTGGTAGGGTTCTGTTTGACGGACGGGCCGCTAATAGTCGAGGAATTCATGGCCACAAATTTGGAGGCCGTCCTGTGTGGTGCGGATCAGGGCCTGACATACGATGAGATCATAAGGATCAGCCTGGACGTGGCCCGAGGGCTGGACCACCTTCATGAGCACGGCGTCACGCACTACGACATCAAGCCCTCCAACATCTTGATGGATGGGGAATTCAACGCGAAGCTGGCGGACTTCTCGTGCTCGGAGCTGAAGCTGGCCTCCAGCATGTCGCTGGCCGTGCGGGGCTCGGCGGGCTACATCGCGCCGGAGATCGTGGAGAAGGGGCTGTGTTCGCGCAGGTATCTGAGTTCAGCTGAGCCACGTGACATGGGCCAGTGCGTCGACTTTCCACGTTGACTCTGAGGATGTTCATTTGTTCATTCATGCAGTCATTCTGTTCACACAGGGGGGGTCCCGGGCGGCATTTTCCCACAGACAAGGTGGACGTCTACAGCTTCGGGAAGGTGATGCTGGAGTGCGTGACGGGAAGCCTCAACCCTGAGAATGCTGCGGCTGAAAGGATTTGCCACGGGCCACTGTGGGAGCTCATACGCGCCTGCGTCAGCGGGTGCCCCAAGGAACGTCCCGGGTGCAAGCGAATTGTGGAGCGACTCGAGGGCATGGTAAAGGATGAAGGGGGCTGGGAGCCTGGCTGGAAGGCGCGGAGGCCGATGCAAGAAATTTCGCAGGCGTCGTAGGCGAGCTGCTGCGGGGTGGCTTTGTGCGGCCGCTGTGTTGCTTTGCATTATTATTTGTAATTTCATGTACCATTTGATTCTGACTGCGGGTGGGCTGTGGTGCGACAAGAACTCTATGTAAGGTCGACGCAACAAATTTGTGAGGCCTCTTAATTTTGGTGCGGATGTCTGGCAAGTATGAGAATAGCACTGGAATTGCGGACAGGTAAGTGGCGATGTGTCTGCGTTGGAAGGTGGTGCGGTGACCAGCAATGGCGGGCCTGAGACAATGTGTTGTTAGGATAATTGCATTTTTATCTTTCTGCGAAACTCTTCCCTGGAAACTTGGTAAGAATTGACAGGCGCGGAATCAGCCATCCATCCCACATATCTTCCTTTTGACTATTTTGAGTGAATATTTTCTCGCAACCTAATGTCCATTGAGCACACGGGACGAGCAATTCCATTGCAACTTTGGGGCTATGAGGTGCGCTCGTGCATACAACAACGTCGCCCTTTCTGCGCTTGTTCTAGTCCAGTGTTGTCATCCATTCAATCTTATTGACGCCACAGTTGCGCACAATACGTCGTACCCATCATGGGTGTGATCATGGTAATGACCCTTCTCTGTGAGCAATGTCACAGGTAGACCATGAAAAAATGGATACGGGGGCAGTCAAGCATTACTTGTGCATGCGTCCGCCTTAGCAATGCCTGTTCGTCCTGTGAAGCCAAGCTCATTCAGATCGCTTGTCTGATACACATTGCCGCGCCTCTTTCAAACAGGAACTCGGTGCGCTGCCACTGATAGCTTGCGACAAAGCACCCAGGGCTCACTGTACAACGTCAGTGCAGTGAGCAATCTCACGAGCAGACCGTAGCTGCGATACAACACCGAAACCCATCCGGGAGTATGGCGTTCATCATGCGGGACGATTCGCAGGCTTGATGCCACAAACTTTGCTGCCTGTAGCATGAGGCAACAAGTTGCTCTAGGACCGCAGGCATCAAGTTCGCTGATGGCTATTGGCGCACTGGCCAGTGAATTGCCCGCCGTCTTGGGACAACTCAGCAGCCATGCCTTTCCCGCAGCCATGCCTTTTCCTTAGGCTTGATTTGGTCCGAGTGCTGGTGCCATCGAAACCTGAACGTTGAAGAACGGGCGCTGCTCCAACGTTCACCACTGTTGACGGCGTTGCATGGGCATTCGGGACGTCTGTGCAAGTCTCACGAAACAAAATTGGCAACCCAGTTGCACTACCCAGAACATAGCAAAGCACCACGAGCCTGTTGGCGCCTCACGACAGCAGAAGCGACAGAGCCGATGACCAACACCCACTCGAGTCCATCCACCAACACAATCATCAGAATCTGAAGTGATGAACAACCACTTCCCTGCGCAGCTAATTTCCGCGAAAGACCTCCAATGACGTGGTCTACATGTCTACCACAACGTCTGGCCTGGTCGAAGTTTCCAGAAGTTTCAAAACCGTCAGCGATGGCCTCCCAGGATCATAGATTGCCGGGCAATTCTCCAGAAGCAGGCTTCGCAACAGCTTCAAACTCGTCAAGGCTTCAACCTTCGTCAGCTACGGCCCCGCAAGAAGACAACACCAGCACATTCAGTGCAGTCAAGGCAGCCAGAACATGCGTTCCCACGTCTGTGCCACTTTCCCAGCGGTCCAACTTCAGGCAGCGCAACGACGTTGTGCCCGGCAAACAGTTGAAACCCTTTGCTTTTGGAAGTGACTTTGGAAGACCGAGGCAGGGACAAGTGACGCAGCCTCATCAAATGGGAAAGGGTCTTCAGCCCACTGTCTGTGATTGCTTTGCAGCACCCCGACCGCAGAGTGCTCAAGGTGGTCAGATCTGCCGGCACTTGCAGACAGGTGTTGGGGATTTTCTCCCATTCGAGCCGGGGCGTGTGCAGTGCCCGCAGGTCTGTCGGTTGTTTCAGTTCCGCTGGTGAGATCTGCCGGCCATACAACTCAAGACGTCGTAATGTCAGTACCCTCATCACCTCAACAGTAATATGGATGTTGAAACTAAACATTAATTGCAAGAATTGAAGTGTCTTGAGGCAACCCATACACTCAGTCCCAACCGCTGTGAGATTGCCGGAGAGGCCAGAGTCAAAATGCAAGAGATCGGTCGGTTTTGCCAGTGACACTATCACACTGTCGGTGGTCCTCCGACACCCCCTCAGGATCAAGTGTTGCAGATGTTCCAGATCTGACAGGACATTCAACCCCTCGTCCATGAGGAAATGACAATCGCAGTAGCTCAAACGGCGCAGCGGTGCCAGACCTGCAACTACTTTCATTCTTAACCCTCAATTGCCGATCTACTCACTTACAGATACTCGAGTGCCTCTAAGCCGTGCAAAGCCACCAAATCTTGGCCCGCGAATGCCCGCCACCATACTAAGTTAAAGTGGCTCAGTGCCACCAGATCAGAAAGCCATACTAACCCAAGTACTGAAGTTTCGTGAGGTTTGCCAGCGAGCTCAATTCAAACTTGTGATGTTTTAATAATACAAAAGTTCCAGATGGTGCAGCCGCCACAAACTCGCCCACAGTTTCACTCTCTCGTGTCCTGTCACAGCGTACAGCACTCGTAGCCCATCGGCGTGCATCCAACAATGCAAATACCCAGAGCTGTGCGACTCAAGGCGTTGCAGATCTTTTTCAGCTGTGCCAAGACGTAACTCTGCAGCTGAGTGTGATGCATTGCAGCGGTGCCATTCCAGTTAGGAAAGTTAAACAATTGGAGGAGATTCCTGACCAGTCATCCAACGCGAGGCTCTGCAGGCCTGTCAGATTCCCAGGAGCGGCCAGCCCTGCACCGCTCAGTCGCGGGCATTGGAACAGTCGAAGAAGATGCCGCAGCTTGCTGCAGCTAACCGACGAAACGAGGGCTGCACAGTTTATCCTCTGCACTCGCCGAGATCAAGCGATGACAGTGAGCCCGATGCGGTCAAACTCCGCATGTCTTTTTCCGCGAATCCAACACGTCTTCTCAACTCAACATGGTGAATGGGGGAATTCTTGCCAAGAGCCTCCAATGCCCCATCATATACTCCTGCACAGTAGGAGAAGTTCAGGCACTTCACGCTCACCAGCTGATTGTCCATCTCTTTGACAGCCTCACGAAAAAAGACACACTCGGGCTTCAACTCCCGAATGCTCCACATTGCCCCACGCGACCAGTGGTGATTATTCAAGTGGGCGGCCATTATGAGCCACCATGAGCCACAGCGCCTCGCGGACAACCCTCTGGAAATATTCGTATGTCCCCATGTCAATTCTGTTGGCAGCATCCTCTTGCAACGAGCCTTGGTTTAGAGGACATGGATATGCTGCTTCCCTGGTTCTGTCTGTCAGTGCTTGGGGTCACGCCTCACACAATCCCCCTTGGAGATCTTCATCCTTGCCATTTCCAAACCCCGAGGCAGCATCCCCTTGCGGCAAGCCTCGCTCTGCAGTCTCCCTAATTCTGTCCAACAGCTCGGCAGCCAGCTGTGGCCAGGACTGCAAACGGGGCAATCGAGGCACAACCAACTGTCAGTACACTGAGTCGTGCATGTTCCATATTCAATACGTCATGCGCTTCATGTGTTTTATACAAACAATAAGAAAGTGCCCAGTCTACACAGTTTCAGTGCATGTATTGACAATGCTGATTTGGTCAAAGGTGTGTATAGCTAGGCTGCCAAGACTCGCAGGATGCTGCAAATTTTCCATTATGTGTGGTAGTTACCGCACAGCAGCTATCCACTGTGGCTGCACCACGGAGCCCATGAGTCTCGCCCATTAGTCTCAGCGTAATGAGACTAGCCAGTCTCGATACTTAGAGTCTCATTATATATACGTCTCTTATGATGATGCTCTCCAATGAGAATATCTGGTATCTATTAAAACGAGTCTGGGTCAAACTAATTAGTTCGCTCCACCAATCATTTCCAAGTTGGTTGCGGCGATGTGCTTGGCAATGTGATCACCGAGGAGGCGTTTTTCCATCATCTTACGGAGACGACTTGATATCTTTGGAGCCAGGCGCGACTTTGCATCTTCACGAGGATTCGAGGTTTGGCCGCTGCATGGCGCAATGATCAACATGGCCGTTGCTGGGTCACACGCAACAAACGCTGGCAGTCGGTGGCAGAATGCCACATTCCAAATTAGAGATTTGTAACAAAGGCTCCTACAAGAACCCTTGGATCGCCCCTACATTGGGGAACACTGTGCATAGCAGCGCCATCGCTTTTCGATTGTGCCAACAACGAATGCCGTGTCGACGCAACGGCGGCACTCTGGAACGATGCACTTTGGAACAGTGCAGCAGAAAAATATCCAAAATCAAAATTCTGTGTCTTCTTGGTTGCAACGTGGAGCTGCACCAATACCAAGTGCATATGGAAATTCGGTAGGCGTTGTTGCAATGTTGTTAGGGCTTCATGCAACAGGGGTATTGAATCAATGACTAGAAATGTTGCGACAATTCCTGTGGAGCAACGGCTCACAGATGCCAGTTTTCGTGAACGACCCAGAAAGTTACGTTTCGGCAACATTGCAGCAATGTTACTGGGCACCACCGCACCCCCAGCGTTGCTGGCTGCAACCTTGAGTCAATGGCCCAGCCTCTCAACGTTGCATCTGGGCTGATCGATGTATTTGCATCAATGCCGCGGTGCATCAACATTGTAACAAGGCTGATTGCAACAGTTTCCTCAATGCCCCACATGATGTGTCTGCGTTTTGAGCACACCTTCTTTTATTTGCTGGGTGCCTCCCAACATCGCGTCCTGGCGTCACAGCCCCTATTGGGTGTGGGCGCGCCCCTCGTTAGTTGTCGGGTCTGGCTTCCTGCATGCATGAAGGATCGATGCGCATTGATGCCATTGAGCAGGCGCAACGAACTTGGCATCAGATCGATCATTGGTCTGGCTCAATGCCGTCCAACTTGTGCAACATCAAAGCGACCTGGCCCTCGCTAAAGAGCAAGATTGCACCAGGTTTGCC